ACCAAGAATCTGCTCCACAGACTTATTAACCTTTGATTAACTTTCCCAAAAGTTATCTCTTCACTGTTCTACCAAAGGACAGTGTGTTTCTTACAAAGAACAATCTGTGTTTAAAAAAGACCAAAACACTCTTTTTATTTATATAGTGCACTATTTGTAACTCTACCGAAGAGTTAAGTCTGCTTACCAAAAGCAGCTACAGGTTATCACGGGGAAAGGAAAGAAAACTATATAGACAATACAGAAGGATTCAAGGACCTTCCCTCTAACACAGGGCAAGAAGAGCTTTTAGTCATAAAAAGACAAAAGGTTTACTTACCAAGTGAGGTGGGTGGTCATCCCGGGCCGAGCCCCCCAGCTGAAAGGATCATTTTCTTTTTATCCCCTCAGAGACCCCCCGGTCTGTGGAGAGATTCCTGGTTTATCAGCAGAATTCTGGGAACACCCCTTGAACATGGAAATAACGGCAGCTTATCTTCAGAGATGTTCAAAGTTTATTAGACATTACTAAGATTATATAGGATACAGAAAAAATAAGGGAGGGGGAGCGAGTTTCAAAACTGTAACTTGTAATTTTCCATCATGAGCTAACTACATGAAACATGACATATACATTTCTTGGTACAAATTGTTTTGGACTAGCTTTCTGAGAAACAACCAGACAAAGACATTGTCAGGGTCATGTTAGCTTCTGTTTGATACATCCTTGAGCAACTAAAACAGTTTAATTAAACTTCTAATATATCTGCAAAAAGCTAACTTAATACTTAAAATGGCGTACATTAACAAAATGGAGGTTATCTAGATCCTTTCACCTGCATTCCCCCTCCCGCATTTTGGTCCAGTTAAAGGGGCAGGAGGAGGCAGCAGGAAGGGGCTAAATTTTGAAGTCGTTTAAGACCGTGTTAACATCTTGTGCTAGTGCACGTTGTTAACACTCATTGAGTTACAACAGTCCATTTAAATATAATGGGCTGCAAACACACCACCAAAACGGGAAAAAAAGACACGGCAGTATTTTGCATCAGGGCTGCATTCCATTGCATCAGGGTGGCACTGCAAAAACTCACTTGCAGTGTTTTTTTGTTTTTAATAAAGGAATATTTAATTGCAATGTGTCTTTGAACTTGCCAGCAAGTTTGACATCATCAGGAAGATATTCAACTGATACGCGCAAGCCATAATGTAATTTAATGTTAGCGGCTGGAGTTTGTAAAGGAAAAATGATTTTTAATTCCAGAAGGTTTTACCCCCTTTATGACTAGGCCATTTTTTGCTTTTTAGCACTGCGCCACTTTAACTGGTAATTGCACGGTCATGCAGCACTGTACATAAATTAAATTAATATACTTTCACTAAAATATAGCTTTTTTACTTTCTATTATAAAACATATCAATTGTATAAAAAAAAATAATAAAAACATTTTTAACAAATCTAATTTCTTCATAAAATTTAGGCCAAAATATATTCGGTTACATTTCTTTGGTAAAACAAAATCACAAATAGCAGTATATTGAATGGTTTGTGTTAAAGTTATAGCTTCTACAAACTATGGTATATATACTGGAATTTGTTTTTATACTAGTAATGGTGGTGACCAGTGACTTATAATGGACTGTGTGATGGCGGCGGGCATTCTGACACTGACACACTGGGTGGGCACTGACTGATGCTGACATCAACATTGACCCTAATACAATAATCAGCAGCACAGTGGCTAAATGGTTTAGCACTTCTGCCTGGCAGTACTAGGGTTGTTGGTTTTGAATTCCAGCCACGGCACCTCCTGCCTGGAGTTTGCATGTTTCTCCCTGTGCCTGCGGGGTTTTCCTCTGGGTACTCCGGTTTCCTCCTACACTCCAAAGACATGCTGGTAGGTTAATTGGATCCTGTCTAAATTGGCCCTTGTATATGAATGTGAGTTAGGGACCTTAGATTGTACGCCCCTTGAGGGTTACGGACTGATGTGAATGTTACAATATATATGTAAAGTGTTACGTAAATTGATGGCGCTCTATAAGTACCTGTAATAAATAATAATAAAATAATAGACATTGTCACTGTACTAATGTCACTGGCTGGGAAGGGTTAACATCTTGGGGGTAATCAAGGGATTAAGTGTGTTCCTAACAAATGTTAATTATGTGAGTTACTGTGTGCCTCTTTTTACTAAAAATCTCTTTGTTTCTTCTGCTTTGAAGGGATTGTTTCCCTCTGTCCAGAGCCTTGTGTTGTTTGTCAGCACAGGGCTCTGGGACTGTGATTGGACACAGCTGAATTGCAGGTCCCAGCCACCAATCATTGGTTTGGGACCTGGTGATGAAATCTCTCTGTGTCTAATCATAACAGGAGTTGGCGGGGGGGTTCCACACGTGTCCCTGGACCCAGAAGGAGGCAGCGATGTACAGGTATGTTGCTGTGCCTGTAGGAGCAGCCCTGCCTCAGTACAATGTGGATGGGTGATGCTAAATTATGTTAAAATATTGCATATTGTCTTGTGCAGCAATTGTAAATACTGTATTATTTTTTTTATGTGCTATTTCTTTCATATTGTTTACAAAATAAAAAAAATTGTTTTTTTTGTAACTTTTTAAAAAACCTGAAAACATTTTATGTAGCTTTTTAAGGATATCAATGAATGCTTTACCAATTTTTCAATATTTAGTATAATCAAATTTCTAGCTATTTTATTTTTTTCAATATACAGTAATTTATATTTTTCTTCAATTTTTCCAATTCAAATTTACAAATGCACAAAAAATACCACAACTAATAAATTAGTTGGGGGAAAAAAAAAAAGAAAAAAAACAGATTATAAATATTGGAAAAATCATAAGCTATTAAAATATTTAGCAATACAATCAGCCTTAATGAGAGAGAATAAATCAATTTTAAAAAAAGGAACACCACTATTCTTCATAGTTTCTCTATTTTGTAGACAATAATAAAGAAAAAGAAGAAAGAAAAAAGAATAAAAAGGTCAGGAACCCCTAAGATAGAAAATAGGATATATACCAGTATTCAGTCAAAATAATACAGGTATGGAAAATGAAATATTTTTTAATGCAGGTATGCTTTCTGCTGAGGATGGAGGTATATAAGATGGGCCATTCAGCACATAACAACAAATATCTTGAAAATGGAGTATAGGCAAATATTAATAAAATTCAGCAATCCTATATGGTCTCTCTGATTTACATCTGCATGAAGTGATGGATTCATGTTACCCATGTCTTATAGAATTTGTCATATTTAAGTGTTCTTGCATGGCAAGACCACTTACTGTTATCTCACATATATATTCTTATTATTATAGCCAAATTTACCACCCTAACTCCTCCCACAGTTTTTACACTACATAGACAGTAATATACAGAAACGTGCGGATTGTTCCCGATCGGTATGCTATTACTTTGTGGAACGTTTCGCCGAATGGTTCACAAAATATTGGCGTTTGTGTGGTGAAATTGGTCCCATAGGAATGAATGGCGGAATGTTCAAAACTAGAGTGAGAGCTGACAAAAGCTAGAGTGTGAGCTGAAAAATCAGGACATGATTTCTAAACTGCCATCAAGCCCACCTACACAAATCTTGTATCAAAACGTTCAGCTATCCCTGCTGCCAATAAAAATGTCCACGGCTAAGCCATAGTCCTGATAGTTTTCACAATATGACCATTTTTTTGCAACTGACGTTACACATTGACATTCATTGAAACTGCACTCTAGCCACTTCAAATTTTTAAAAGTTGAAATGCATTTCTCACTCTATCAAGCTTGCTATGTGCACTTTTTAAATTTGATCAATCAATTGGTTAGTGTAATGTATACTTTCTTTACTCACTCCAAACACTCCACACAGTTACTCTGCCTACTCCATAAAGTTACTCTGCCCAGTCCAACCTTTTCACAGTTACTCCAGCCACTACAACCACACAACAGTTACTCAAGCCACTCCATCCAGTTACTCCGCCCACTCCAGACTACTGGTGGAGGCAAGAACACTTCACACAATTTCCCCAGAAATTGTAGCTTTTCTAGTTCCCTTTGCATTTATGAACCCAACATTTTGCTTCCATAATCCTATCCATCTCTAGCTGTCAGGTAATAATATGCTGCCAACCCAGTTTTGTATGCCTTAAATAAATAAAAAATGAATGACCACAGGATAAGAAATCTCTCAATAGAGAAAACCTGTATTTTTATCATTTACAACTACTTTACATCTGCATTTGCTTCAGGTTTACATCACGATCTATAGAAACTTTCTTTTATATAGTATACATACGGATATCAAATAACTAATTTGCATGTATTTTCTTAAGTATAACTTTCTGAACAGATTCTTTTACTTCTTTGTTTCTTAAACTGTATAATATAGGGTTGAGCATTGGAATTACAATAGTGTAAAGAACAGCAATTGCTCTGTCCATGTTTGATGCATTTCCATTTGAGGGCTTAAAGTAGGCAAATATTAATGTTCCATAAAATAATAGCACAACAGTGATGTGAGAGGCACAAGTAGAGAAAGCTTTCATTTTTCCTGCAGCAGTGCGTATTTTTAAACACTGCCAAAATAATGAATAAATATGACCCGAATATAAAGATAAAACAAAATACTCCTAAAACAACATCAGTTACTATGAGCACTAGCTCATTAATACTTGTGTCAGAACAAGATAGTGCCAGCAATTGTGGAATTTCACAGAAAAAGTGATTGATTTCTTTGGATGCACAAAACGACAGACGAAACGTGCTTGATGTGTGATATGTTGAGCTGCAAAGTCCAAATGTCCACACAACAGCAGACATAAAATAGCAAGCTTTTTTGCTCATAATAGTCTTGTATCTCAAAGGATTACAGATTGCAAGGTAACGGTCTATTGACATAATAGTCAATAAGAGAAACTCTGAGTCTATAGCAGCAGTAAATACAAACATTTGTACAACACATCCTTGGAATGATATCACCTTGTGTTTAGAAAAGAAATGGAGCCAACATGTTTGGAATAGTTGATGTTGTGCATACTGTATCTAAAAAGGAAAGATTACTAAGGAAGAAATACATAGGAGTATTCAGTGCTGGATCAACACTTGTTATAATTATTATTATAAGGTTCCCAGTCATGCATATTATATACATAAGAAGGAAAACAGAAAATAAAACTACTTGCAATTCTGGAGAAGTGGAAAGACCAAGAAGAATAAATTCTGACACTGTAGTTTCATTGTACATCCTGTGCTATTGATTGCATAGGCCTAAAAGAAAAAGGAACAATTTTTAAAATGAATAAGCATAGTACCAAACTGCTTTCTTCTGATGTCAGCATTATACTGAGCTGTTTCTGACAAAAGTGCTCTAAAAAACACAGGTTGCTTTACTATCAATAGGGCTAGCAGTTTTTTTAAATACAGTAAAGGGTATATTACAATAAATATAATAAGTAGGACTGCGCTATGGACCCCTAGATCACTCACAGAGAGAAAAAAAAACCCCACAAAACTACCAGGTAGCTGCAGTTCTTAATGGAATCCCATTGAATGAACAGATCTATACATATGGAACTGCGCTGTTCACTGATATCTAATCCAAAAGATGGGATAACTAAAAAATATGCAAAAAATCAATAGAAAAAGTCCCCTTGTGCACATTGTTCTACAGGTTTTGTGCAAAAAACTAATAAAATGTAACAAACCCTCCTATACCTCCAATACACATATATTCTAATACAGTATGATTAATACATGACATTCTATCTCAACACAATTGAAATATATGAAGCAGATTTAATGAATTATAAAGTGATTTGTGCAATCAATTAAATTAATATCGCTCTGGTGAGTTCACCCAATTTATCTGTTGGTGGATGGAGCACAAAAAAAATTTTGGTGGTGTCATTGATATAGTGGAATCTGTACAACTAATAGCACTTTAATACTGAGGAATTGCACAGATTGGATGGTCACAAGGAGTTATGTTGGACTTGATGATGCAATGACGTTCAGAGTCATTTAATGGACACATTTTCTGGCAATTTAATTGATTGCACCAATCACTTTATAATTCAATAAATATGTTTCATATATTTAAAATGTGTTGAGATAGAATGTCATGTATTAATCATACTGTATTAGAGTATATGTGTATTGGAGGTATAGGAGGTTTTGTTACATTTTATTAGTTTTTTGCACAAAACCTGTAGCACAATGTGCACAAGGGGACTTTTTATATATATTGTTTTTTTTGCATAGTTTTTTAGTTATTCCATCTTTTGGATTAGATATCAGTGAACAGTGCCATTCCATATGTATAGATCTGTTCATTTAAAGGGCAATATTTTTTACTATACTTCATATCACATTATTTGTTCATTGGACAATGATGAGCAAAATCTGTGCAGTTATTACACTGAAGAAAAAAATATGTTGGCTTGCTACCCTTGATATCATCATAGAGACTGTGAGGGAATATCTGAATTATTCCCACATTCTGCCTGGAGCAGACAAAATCTACAGCAGTTGTACGTAGCAATCAATCAGCTTATATCTTTCATTTTATAGGCTCAGCTGAACAAGCTGAAGATAGAAACTGATTGGTTGTCAGATGCAGCTGCCTCCAGATTATGTCTGCTCCAGCTTTAATACATTCTCCTCTAAAGGTGCCTAAAAACATAACAGACTATGCCCCACTCACACCATTTACTAGGAGATTAAAGAATGTCAATAAGCAAAATGCAATTATTCAATCTAGCACATATCCACTGCATGAGTCATCTTCGGAGAAGAGTTAATTTCCCTCAAATAACAGGTTTAAATTAGAAGGTCTAATCAGAAAAAAACAGTAAACAAATGATTCATACTTTGATTACATATATAATAAAGAAAAAAAAATCAAAGATATACTCACCATACTGAACATACTTACCAAACAGTTCACTTTGACCTTGTATGAAAGATGCAACAACAATCATTGATTGGAGATAATTGGATAATACAAAAGAAAATACAATTGTATGCATGACCAAATTTTTACATTGTTAATTTTTAGGAGTAAAAGATGTACAAAATGGATCATACGTTTACCTTTGACAATAACATGAAGTCTCAATCAGAAAGAATAATATAGTGATCTCTCTTTATACGGTTTTTGAAGTCAAGGGAACAATACATAATTGCAATATTTTTGTTGAACCCCTAGAGCAATTCATAACAAACAATTCAAGCGAAAAGCTCACAGGATTTTTGAAAATAGAAATGATGATGCAAACTGAGAAATTAATATAATTATATTTAATATTTTGGAAAACAAAAGGCATATAACGTCCATATTTTATTTTAAACATTTTCAAATATGTGAACAAACTAATGCATGCAAAAGAAAATGAACATACAACTTACAGCCTTCACTTGTCTTGATATGACTCCAATATGAGCATCCCTATTAAATTATGCAAAAGGTAGCAGACATTTTCTCTTAAAGGATAAGTTCACCTTTTGTAGCCTTTTGCCCCCTCCATCCCCACCATTCCCAATTCTGATGTTTTGCTCTCTCTCCTCCCCCACAAATCCATACCCAGCTTACAGTGCAGCCCTAGCAGCAGCAGTGAGAAAATGAGGGAAAAGAGCCAGGGCCAGGACAAAGAGTAGCTGGCCTGAAGTGCAACATGATACAGAGAACCCGGAGGGTGCGATGGAAGCCCTACATGTAGGTCCTGGCTAGCCGCAATTTCCCCTCCCTCGCTCCTCCTCCCAGATCATCTGAGATCTTTTGTGGGAGGACAGGAAACAGTGCCGCTCTACTCCAAGTAATGCCACCACCTCTGTTGGTGCAGGTAGTGGGAGAACAGGCAGCATGGGCGAACAAGCAGCTATGCCATTCTCCTGATCGATAAAAACATTGTATCTGCTTCAAGTGTATAGAGCAGCACATGTGCATTGTGTATAGCAAGGAAACAGATGTGTTTGGGGGTACAGTGAAAAACAGAGGTGCTAGGGGGATACAGTGGGAAACAGATTTACAGGAGGTACAGTAGGAAACAGATGTGTGTGGATAACAGTGGGAAATAGATGTGCAGGGGGGGTACCTTAGGGTGTCAGGATGTAGTGGGGGGGGGGGCTAAAATGCCCCTTCACCTAAATAAAGACAAAAATCCTTGCACCGCCCCTGGCTGAACTTGTTCCAGTGTTGGTACTTCTATAGATTAAAGTAGAACTATACTCTACAGAGGCACACTGATATGGCGATACAATGTGGAAAACCATTAATCAGAATTTTAACACCCCGCTCAAATCACTTTTTCACTCACTGAAATACCAAAGAATTATATTTATAAATTGGTAAATATGACATTCAAAAAATAACTGAAGGAGAATATTCTTGTTACATAATAATAACAATGATTATTCACCACCAGTGAATGTTTTGTAAAAGTCATATTTACCACTTTATAAATATGCCCCCAAGTTTTAGCATTAAAAGTATGTGGAGTTTAATTTAACAAATGCTGCAGGTGGTTTGGTACTCCATGCCTTGTAACTTGGTGTCACTTTGAGTCTTTTACCCTATCACTAAAGCCACTATTGAAATAAAATCAAAAGGTAAGAACTTTAAAAAAAAAAAAACGTAAAGCGATTCCAAAGGTTCATTTTTTTTTTAAAAATACCAAACATGTCTATACTTACCTACTGTGTGCAGTGATTTTGCACAGGCAGCCCGGATCCTCCTCTTCTCGGGTCCCCCACAGGCTCTCCTGGCTCCTCCTGTCTATTGGGTGTCCCCACAGCAAGCAGCTTGCTATGGGGGCACCCGCTGCTTCATGTGTCCATTCGCACACGGAGCCGTGGCTTGAAACTGCCCCCTCTCTCTCCTTATTGGCTGACTGGCTGTAATTTACAGCAGCGGGAGCCAATGGCTCCCACTTTCTGTCTCAGCCAATAATGAGGCAGAAACCCAGGACAGTCGAGGCTGTTATTCACATCTCTGTATCGCAATGAGGCTTGGGTAAGTATTGAGGGGACTGGTGGAGCTGCTGCACACAGAAGGTTTTTTAACTTCATGCATAGAATGCAAGAAGGTAAAAAACCTTCAGCCTTTCCAACCACTTTAAATCTTGTTTACAAACACATTCTGTTAAAGACTAATATACAACATTGGTCTTAATTCTCCTGAACTGAAGACATTTTTTTTCAGCACTCCAGGGTAAATGCCTGGGGAGCAATAATGCCTTTGTCCTGTCCTCTCTGGAGTACTTTCTTTATGTAGATTGCAATAATGTTAGGGATGTGATTTGGATTCTAGTTAAACCTAAATTTGCACCAAATTTACAGGATTTAAATTCCATTTGAATTTGCAATTTTGTCATTGACCCATTGGCCATGATTTACTAAGAATCGAGACTACCAGCAGACGCTGAACATTCAGGCAGACTCAATTCAATCAATCAAGACCTGTTAGTCTTCAAAAGGCGACCAGCAAGTTGATTGGAAAGAGTCTATTTTCTAGACACGTTCCTGTTCGTAAATACGAAAGCACATTGGGCGTATTTCTAGATGCAATGCTGAATATGTTCGCTAGGTGGCGCACAAGCGCAGGCTTTGTCCCCTTGGCATTTTTCTGTTTGCATATGAGAATACTTATAATTTAAAATAAAAAGCACACCTATATTATAACTTTTTTAATTATAATTTTTTTGTTGCTGTTTCTCCAAAAATGATCGGCCAACTAATGCATTTCCTAATGAATTTCATACATCTTATTTTCAAATGTCAAACATTTTTAAACAAATAATTTGAATATCTAGTTCTAATTTCCCAATATAATTAGATATCTTCATTCTCTTTAATCCTGTAACTATTTACATCCCAGCTCAAGCTCTGTCTGCTACAGTGGCTTAGTGGTTAGTACTCAGGACTTACAGCACTTAGGTCATGGGTTCTAATATCAGTCATGGCTGCACCTGTCTGGAGTTTGCATGCTTTCTCTGCACAGTTGTGTTTCTGCCCACACTCCAAAGACATGCTGTTAGGTAAATTGGGCCTAGTATATGTCTGAGTTTCTCGCCTTAGATTGTAAGCTCCTTGACATTACAGACTATTGTGAATGGACAAAATATGGAGATCAATTTCCAGGGTTCTGTCAGTGCCAGGAATATTGATCATTCAATTAAGATTTTGGCTAGAAAGTGGAAAGGGAGTGAATCTTCCTCGTCCTGTTCTTCTGACAAGTTTGAAACTTTC